CAAAAAAGATGTTCACAAGAAGTTTTTAATACTTCTATGCTAATAAAGTCTTACTACTTTCTTTAAACCAATCCAAAGGTTCTCTTAGAACTCACTCACTATCTCTTCCCTCTTGTCTACAACCTCCTTTGAAAAAACTGAACTCTTGTGGCTTGCAAAGTTTAGCTCCTACCTTTATTATCTATGGCAAGAAAGTTCCTAAAGGAAAAAGGACCAACAGTGAAATAACTCCACCTCTTAGTTATGGTGGAGATAACAGAGGTTAAAACCAGTCAAAGGACTCAATTTTTCATCCTTTAACTAGTGTTGTGACCTCTCAGAGCTATCTTTTTCATGGCTTTTTGGGGAATTTTGCCTATCCCAACTTGACCCTGAAATTTCAGGTAGCACAGATCTCACCAACTCTGATTGGTCGACGTGAAACATGTTGAACAAGATTGTAAACAAGCTCCTATTGACCACCTCACATGTCTGAATGCATTTCCTCAGCCCCTATAAGAATTTGGGATCCATCATAAGTCATTTTGTCTGGCGCGGGTGGATACAGGACACGGTACCGACACATCATTGGACACAAGAAAGAGTCCGTCTGACCATGGTAAAGATCACAAGATGCTCGATTAATCTTTTCTCAAGTCAGAGCCACCTACATCCTGATTGTATGTCAGGTAGGTTCCAACCTTTACTGTCTGAAAAGTCTAAATCAGAGAAAGCACGGAGCCATTAAGAATGCTCAGTGGTAAAGCTTATACGCAAAGTAATCCAGGAAGTTTTCATCCTATCTTCAAAAAATCCCAAGCTGAAAGACTGGAAGGCTAAAGCCACTTCACCAATTGAAACTCAAGCTCGAAAATGTTAGCAGTGACATGCGAGCCAGCCGGATAATCTGGAAAATCCTCATTGATCACTAATACCAATGGCCACCAGCAGGGTATGTCTATCGCAAGACTAGGTGCTGTCCTTTCTATAAGGAATTAAATCTAAAATAAGAGGCACAGATAGATAAGTATTTCCATATTTAGATAGGAATGGGTTTAATTGACGATATACTGGAAGACTTCAAGTCACTCATGCAGACACCAATATACTACCTGGGCCTTTCTGATTACTTCCTTCCCACAAGTCTTAAAACTGTAAAGTCTCCTCTTCTCTTCGGCCTCCACCTTATTTCTGTAAAAAACTCAGTAGAAACCTTCCTCCAGACCTTTCCACGAGAGGAATTTGAACAAGACAGGTATGTGCCAAGAAACAAGACCGATACATTTCACATGACTGTCCAATCTTTCTTTTATTTTTTATTTTCATTTATGACACCAGTATACTCTAGGGATGCTGGTTTTTCTTTGAAAAAAGAAAGGGCAATACGCCTCAAAGTAGCTTTAGAATAACTTTAGCTTATTGTTATCTTTATCTTCTCGAATATACATCCATATATTCATGCTTTGTGCAATGTAAACTTGTAATTTGGGATTCAATAAAGTTAGGCATAAGCCCGTCAAAACATTAAAAAAAAAATAGTTTCACTAGACTATTAAGCTATATTATTTTGAACAGAACTCAAGTATCCTTTGAAAATAATACAGTAAACACTCCCTAAATGCACACTCTTTAAATGCACACTCTTCCTAAATGCACAATATTCTGTGGTCCCAATCTCAGGACATAGTACTTAAATGCACACTCTATATTTTGCATGTGCAATAGATTTTTACAATTCCATCTATATAAGAATAATTCTCTAAATGTATATACGTGATATTAATTACAAATTTAGTAAGTAACATTAATATTGTCATACATTGAATAAAATTTTAATTGGTACATTAGCATAGTACATATCATTGATTTTAAACTTTGAAATTGTATACAAATATATAACATTAATTAATAAAAGTACCATGCTTTCAAAAATAAAGATTACTTTGACAGATGCCCAAAAGTATGAATTTTGTCTATATGCTTATTACAATCCAGGAAATCGAATAGAATATGTTAATTGGATTGAAAACAAATAGAATGTCAGGGTTAGTGAATCTACAGTATCACGTATTCTTCAACAAAAAGATAAGTGACTTTCAACTGAGATTAATACACCAAAAGCAAAGAGACATAGATCAGTCATGTTTCCACAACTTGAACAAGCTCTTAAAGAGTTTGTATTGATATATCAGTATCAAGTAGTATTAAGCGATACTGTATTAATTGAACGTGCCAAATAATTAGCAAGTAAATTAGAGATCCTTGAAGGTGCATCGAATTTCTCTGTTGGTTGGCTTCAGAAATTCAAAAAGCATCATTCTATTCATCAAGCTAAACCATATGGAGAAGAAACATCTGTTGATTTGATAGCAGTTTCTGAGATTTTACTACAATTGCATAATATATGCAGTAACTACCCACCTGAACGAATTTATAATATGGATGAGACCGGACTTTTTTATTGGTAAATAAATATATCTTTATAAATAGTTTAATGCAAAAATATAATAAATATTATATTAATTTTTATAGACTAGAACCAGATAGAACACTAGCTACTCAACGTCTTGCCGGTCACAAAAAAGATAAGGAACATCTTTCTATTGCACTTAGTACAAACTCTAATGGGTCACATAAATTAGATCCACTGGTTATTGGTAAATATGCAAGACCATATTGTTTTAAAAACATCAGTCTTCATAATCTGCCAGTAACATATCGAAATAATAATAAGGCTTGGATACTTATATCTTTGTTTCAAGAGTGGATCCAAAATTTCGATAAACAAATGGCTAATAAGTATGGAGATAATCGTGTTTTGCTTTTTTTAGATAATTGTTCAAGCCATAAACTGGAATGTTTGAATCTTCAACATGTCGATATACATTTTCTTCCACCTAATATGACTGCTAAGATTCAACCTATGGATGGTGGAATTATAATAGCTTTTAAAAAACATTATAGTCATTATTAAATTTGATATTGTATAATGTATTCTTGTTAAAAGTTAAAAAAGAATATAACATTAATATTATATTTTATTTATAGCTGGATGTTAGAGCAAGTTGAAGCTGGACAAAAAATAAAACAACAGAAAATGGATGTTCTTCAAGCTATCTGATATATTAGTAAAACGTGGGAAGAGATTATACCTAAAACAATTTATCAATGCTGACAACATACTGGCATTATTCCTAAAACTGATAATGTCAATCTACAAACCATTCTCGATGGCATTCATGTAATTAATGATTTGATTCTTGATGAAATTAGCAGAATACCCAGAAGTCTTAATCTTTTAGAGTCAATGGAAATTAAAGAATTTCTCATGGTTCCTGAAGAAAACATTGTTTACGAAATTTCAGATAGTGAACAAATAGTTACAGAGCTTTTTGAGATTTTTAAAGACGAAAATAGTAATGATTTAGAGAACACAGATAACAGCACTGAAACAACGGTTATTAGCGCAAGTACTGCATTAAAAAGTCTGGAAACTGTACATGCATTCTTATTGCAACAAGAAAATATGAAAGATCAATTGAAGTGTGCAAATATTTTAGAAAGATATATTAGAGAAAAAAAGATTAGTTCAATGCAATAGTCGAACTTAAACCAATATTTCAAATAAAGCTTATTTTTAGTAGTGAGATAGTTTTAGATAGTTTCTTATCGGTTTAGCTATAGTCTATTTGTGACATCATTATTTGTATAAATAGACAAGCATCACAGACAATAAAGAGACATTTAACCCGTTGAACCTGGAATTGAAAAAAGGAGGAAGTCAAGTCTTTGTTTTGCCTTATACAATGGTTCTACTATTCTAGGGTGACGAAGCATACAGAAATCCTACAAAGAAGGTGAGAAAGGTACAAGGGTCGACTGGGATACGTGAGATACAGGAAGAAGAAAAACAAAGAAGCTTTGGCCTAATCTTTAAGCCTTTTTTGGAAATGAAAGTTAATCGACTGGCGAATCGCGATAAAAGTTTAGCGACAGACTCGTTGTTTTAACCGCCAAAAACTTGATAACTGACTGTGAGATAGAACAAAGAGAGATATGGAAACTGTGGATTCTAAGCGAAATACTTAATTACCCTCCAAAGTATCAACGTAGCAAAGAAATATATATTAAAAAAAAAATTGTATTCAAAATTTTGTTTAATTCAATAAATAATTTATTGTAGTGCCCTTTTATTTTTATTTACTTTTACATCTATAGAAAAAAAAAGAAGAAAGCGATGATAAATAACATGGGAAGTATTTTCAAGTAGTGAACTCTGGGAGATCACCTTGATATGGAAGGAAATAAATAAAACGAAGAAGTGTACAGGAACGAATAAAGCTAATCCAGAGAAGTTATGTGATAAAAAGAGAGAAGAGCCCTCCGCCAGACGAGAATATGGCTGAGAGGAGCTCACCTCAAGGCAACCATACTATGGAGAAGAGCCCTCTGCCCAATATAAGTATGGCCGAGAGAAGCCAACCATTAGGCAAAGTTATTTCTGTGAAGAGCCCTCCGCCCGATATGAGCACGTTCTTTACTACTCGGGTTATGCAAAGGAAAAAGAGATTTATTATAATAATACGAGTAATAGTACTCCAGGCATATAGCACATATCACGAATGTCAAAGCAGAGAGAGTGATATGCTTCTGGTGGAATCTTACAATATAGTGTAATAGTCGTGAAGGGTAACAAGACAAGCTTAAGTCTATGGTGCAAACTGAGGACTCATCCAATAATGCTGGCATCAAAGATGACGGTAGTCCACCTATGTCCGTGATGCAAGATAGGGAGTCGTATGTACCTAGGATGGGGCGAAAGAGAAAAAGATTAGTGATCTTACAATATAGTATAATAGCTGTGAGGGGTAACAAGTGGCAAAACAAGCCTAAGTCTATGATGCAAATTGAGGACTCGTCCAATGATGATGGCATCAAAGATGACGGTAGTCCACCTATGTCCGTGATGCAAAATGGGAAGTCGTATGTGCCTAGGATGAGGCAAAAGAGAATAAGATTAGTGATCTTACAATATAATGTAATAGCCGTGAAGAGTAACAAGTGGTAAGACAAGCCTAAGTCTATGGTGCAAACTGAGAACTCGTCCAATGATAACAGCATCAAAGACAATGATAGTCTGCCTATGTCCGTGATGCAAGATGTGAAGTCGTATGTGCCTAGGATAGGATGAAAGAGAAAAAGATTAGTAATCTTACAATATAGTATAATAGCCGTGAAGGCAAGACAAGCCTAAGTCTATGGCACAAACTGAGGACTTATCTAATAATGATAGTACCAAAGATAACGGTAGTCTGCCTACGTCCGTGATGCAAGATGGGAAGTCATATATGTCTAGGATGGGGTGAAAGAAAAAAAGATTAGTGACGATACAAAACTATCACGAAGTCAAGAAAGTAGCATGGCGAATGGATTGGGTGAAATACGCTTCCTATGATCCCGGTGGACTTTTTTATAGTTATACTCGCAGGAATCAAAGAATAATGTTTAGCAAAGTGGAAATTGATAAGCACATAAGCATGTCGTGGGAATGAATCAGTTTAGTGACATGGACAGTATGTCATCGGTACTGAAAAATTGTCGTAAAGGATGATACACTAAACAAAGGAGACAAGCATTGAAAATGATCACAAAACAAGGATAGAGAAACCACTGATAATCAACAATAACTGTGAAACGTGATTCCTCATAGCACAATCTCATATTTGTCAAAAGCAGTGGAACGGATGAACTGAAAAAGTATCTGAAGGCCAACCAAGGGGATAAAACAGGAATTAAAATTAAATGTGTATATTTTATTTGACCCCGAAGGATTGGTTACAAACTGCACCTGAAAAATTCATAACATCCAACATTAGGAGGTCATAATAAAACCTTTGTTGCGGATGTTAAAGATAAGGTGTAGGGAAATGTAAATGGTAAAATTGGCTGCACGTTATGTAATTTTAAAGTAATGTCACTTGACTTTGTGATGGTTATAATGGGTTAAAACATTAGGATAGCTTATTTTTAGTTTAGCTGTTTCGACTGCCAACAATATACTGAAAATTCTATCATGTGAATGTGTTACCACTCCATAAGTGCATTGTTCTCTAAATGCACGGCATCATACTCTCAGTCCCAAGGTGTGCATTTAGGGAGTGCCAACTGTAGTTACATGTGATAAGCTAGGATTATAGAATATTCTAGAGTGCTTTATACTAAGTTTGCTAATAGCAAAATTGACTATCAATGTTCTAGAAGTGTTCTGGAAGATCTTTACTTTCAGGT